CTGTTGCCACGGCAACGTCTCACCTGCCACTACCCAGACCTACTCCCTTCCTCATGTTGGTCCCATGCCTCACCTCACCCCCCTCACCTCACCCCCCACCCCCCTCCACCATTGCCTCCTTCATCCTCATTTCTTTGATACCAAACATTTGCCCCCGTCCTCCCCCACGTCCTCCCCCCGTGGGCAGCTACTGATGTTTGGAGTTCTACACACAAAGTTACAACGTTGTGATCAAAGCGGCGGAGAGGAGTGAAAGGGAGAATAAATGAAGCTGTTTGTATCAAAGGAGGGAGACGAACGACTGAGGATAAAAAAAAGTTAAACACACTGTGTCCACTGAAGTAGACATGGAGTCTCCAAAACACACTGGAATCAAACCCACAACCTCCTTATATGTCGTAGTCAACAACACTTTTGTTGCTGGGAAAAATATAAATATATAAATATAAATATCTAAACATTGACAGATGTGATCGTGTTGACATCAGATCTACTTACATCCTCCTCTCTGTTGCGATTGGCCGGACTGGAGGGGGGGGCTACATGTAGTGCCACTGTCCTTCCATGCCCATGTTCATGCCCATGCCCCCCATCGGACCTGAGGAGCACAAAGAAGGGGTGTTTAAAAGGTGGAGTTCATCCACTAATACATGCAGTACCTCCACGGACCACTGGGGCTGTTAACATTTCTATAAAATGACATTTTTGCAGCACTGGATTCATTTGAAGGAGCTATCACTACAACAGCAGGGGGCGTTGGGGGTGGGTCGGGGGGTCGGGTAGGGTTATAGAGACTCTTTCAGGAGAGTCCTAGAAAACAGGGGATAAAAAAGGGGGAGGAAGAGGAGGAGGAGGAGGAGGAGAGGAGCTTAAGTACAGTGTCTGGGATTAGACCTAATGGTGTGTGGGAGACCGAGAGAGAGAGAGACAGGGTGGGGGGGAGAGAGGGTTGTGTAATGTGATTGACTACACCTGGTCTGGTTTGCATGTCTGGTTAGGGAGGGAGGGAGGCAGGGAGGGGGGAGGCAGAGAGGGGGGGTATCTGTCTGTGAGCGTCTCTGTGTTTCGGTACAACAGCAGAGATTTCGGTGAGAAAAGTTCAACTGAGAAGTTTTTTGTAAGAGAACCGATACAGCGAGACGTGTCTGGGTCTAAGTTAGTTAATTTTAAAATGACGTCGAGCACCAACGGAGGACAAATTTGTCAAGTGCAAGGCAAGGACAGAGGGACAGACACACAGAGAAAGGCCTTACCAGGTGGTCTGATTCCCATGTGCTGTTGGCCGTCCATGACGAAGCCCCCCATCGGCTGACCATCTGGGTTGTAGGGAGCTCCTTGACTTACTGGGGATGGAG